CAGAGCAGGGGCTGTTTTTAATGTTTAATATAGTAAAAAAACTTCTGTCTGTCAATCTAAGCATTTGGTTTTGATTCACACCAGCTCACAAATAAAAATATGTGCACCACAGACTCATTATACTGGTGGCATATACGGAATATAGTGCTTATGTGCTAAAACTAAACCTGGTTTGTAACAGAAAATGGAAAATTATGGTGGATGGGCCAAATCCTGCAGTTCTTACTCATGCAATAATTTAACTTATTATTTATTATTTTATAGGAAAAAATTTTAAGCTTGTTTCCTAAAGCAATGCCTCTAAAGCCATATTTGGGCTTTTCTAAGGGAAATGTTAACTCAGGGCATTAGTATAGTATAACAAGTCATTGGAATCTCTAGCGTGACCTATAAAATGCTCTCTAACACCATGGGCTAAGGATGCTACATTTCCTGGTCTTGTCATTACTGATTAGTATTAGTGAAATGTCAGAGTAATCTTCTGTAGCTATTAGAGAATCTACTCTTTTCTTAGTGATGCCTGTCTGGTTCGAATGGTTTGTCTGTCAAGTTGCCTACCGTTAGCAATTATTTTGCAATGAGTGTGCTAATCAACGGGAGGGGGCAGCAATTATTACATCTAGTATCTTCTCTAAGTTTAAATATAACTAAAATCAAAGCAGTTCTTTGATGTGAATACAACTTTTACAGATGTATCAAAACCATTGTGGACATAGGGTCGAAGATTTCACTATATGTTACCTTACAATACCAGGAGGAGGATGCTGGATGAGGGAGTGCTCTGCGACTGTGGGGCCTACTTCTGTTCCTCTCTGGTCTCACGCATCTGGGCAGTGTTCCTCTCGGCGGCGTCCACTGGCTCCCTAGACAGTGGCACGCTGTCCAAAGTTCTCTGCTCAGTATCCCTATCCTTGTTTTAAAACTTTGGCTGCACCCCTGACCCTGTTTTTGATTATTTGTCCCTGTAGTGAGCAGAGTTGGCCGCTCACTGACCCTGAGGAGGAAGAACCCCTCTCTGAGCCTGAGTGGGCTGAGACAGAGCCTGCCCCTTTAAGTCAACAGAGGCCTTGGGTAGCAGCCTATGTTCTCTTCTGTGGTTCCAGGTGCTCTGATAGGCACACCTGTAAATGAACAAGTCAGATTTGTGACACTACAATTTAATGGATGGGGTGACCTAGGGTACATTTACACTACAGAGAAGATCAAAGATGCCGCGGTTGCTCTTCCAGGGTTCAAATTAGCGAGTCTAGTGAAGACAGCTAATTTGGACTGAGAGGGGCGCTCTGGTTGATACTGGTAATCCTGCTTTCACGAGGAGCAAAAGAAGTCAAAAGAAGACTTCCAGCAGTGTAGACAGCGCTAAAAGCCAAGTTAAGCTACTTCAATTTCAGCTATGCAATTAAAGTAGCTGAAGTTGCATATCTTAATTCGACTTTGTCCCATAGTGTAGGCATACTCTGAGTGTTTAATAATGAGCATTTATATAGCACCTTTCACACAGAAGGACTGTAGAATGGTTTACACTCTGTGAGCCTAAGGTTGCTGTAACAATCTAGAAATCACTTCACTCATCACTCAAATGCAGCTGTTTCTGGGTTGAAATTGAAAATGAGTAAAAACACTGAAGTTGGGATCAAGTCCAGCATTGTGCAGACTTCAACTCAGGTCCTGGACTCCGGATTACATCTATATTTGTCTTTAAATCCGGTAACCATTTAACAGCAGCAATGTTAGCCAACAATTTAAGTCGGAAAATGAATAATAAAATATCTGGGTGAAACTGCAGAGCGAGGCCCTAGCCGTGATCCCACTGAAGCCAATTGCAACACTTCCTGTGATTTCCATACGAGCGAAGTCCAGTCCAGAATGTAATTAGCCTGAAAAAGGAGAATTAGAGAGACCTAACTACAATTTCGATATGTAGTTTTCCATTGTGACAGCATCATGCTGAGCTAGGTTGAAAGTACAGTACATCCCTCTAGTCTGCAACTGGTTCACATTATAGTCAGTCCATGGCCTGCTACCATCAAGCCATCTGTTAGGGGGTTTGTTTAATGTTATTCTTCTTTGCATATGATCCCAGGTGTTTATGAATAATCTGCTTCCTTCCTCACCATGGTACCCTCAGTTAAATACCACTCAGGCCCCTCACTGACCTGGTTTGAATTTGTTGACTTCTGAGATACTTGTTAATAAAATGATGATGCTGTTTTTACCCACAGCTCTAGTACCTTTGTAGGCTTATTTCCAAGTTAATGCTTTATATCTTGATGCTCCATTTAGGGCCCTCGTGTTTATCGTTCATGGCGCTGGGGAACACTGCGGCCGCTATGATGACTTAGCCCAGATGCTGACAGGACTTAACTTGTTTGTATTTGCTCATGACCATGGTGAGTATTATAAAAGAAATAGCATGTGATTCATATCAGGTCAGGGCCATAGCAAGTTGAATGGAGTTAAAACTGTTCAGTGGGGGTGGGGGAGGGTGTCAATTAATTATAGATCAGCATAAAGGGGAAAGGATTGATCAAGGCATTGTGTAGTACTGTCTGTCTACTCTAGCTGATCTATCAAATGGCCACATAGGTTCCTTGGGTTCTCTCAGCCTTGTCATTATGGAGTCACCATTTACAATATTTTTATCATCTCCTTATGGGATTGACAATGTTGTGATTTATGTCTGGTTGTGGTGGAGTCACCATAGCTGCTATCCTGAATCACCTCAATGGAGATGCTGAAATGGTAATGTGTCTTTCATGCTCTCACTGAACCTGAAGGCCTAGCCTCAGGACAAACAAACAAACAAACAATGAATGTAATTTCTTTCAGCAATCTCCACGAAGGCCATGAACTGGGACAGCCCAACAATACATTCAACTTGGGGATTTTCTGCACCTAACATTTAGATTACCCCAGCTACGTCACTCAAGGGTGTGAAAAATTCAGTGTAGATACTGCTAGGTTGACAGAATAATTCTTCCATGGGCCTAGTTACCACTTTATGGGGGATGGATTTACATCCTTTCCATCACAGTAGCAAAGGTCTATGCTACAGCAGCACAGCTGCAGCACCACAGCAATGCTTCTAATATAGACATACCCTCAGGCTTTCTTGCTGTAAGACCTTGCTCTAGTTATACCAGTGAAATAGCATCATAACTCCACTGAAACCTTGGCTTTTCTTGAATGAAATCAAGACCATAATTTGGCCTAGAGGCCTCTTCCCATCTCTCACACATTTACTGACATGTAACACCACCATACACATTATCTCTGAAATTAGCTTGAGGTGTCTCACCAATATGAACACTTCAGAGTTTAGCAAACTTGAAATTTAGTGGAGGCACATCTGGTCTTTGAGAAAAATGTCTAAGCCTCAGTGAGACTCAACATCCACGTTTTCCCATTAGATATGTGCTTGAGACGCCCATTGAGTTTCAGTATTGGCAGCTAAGCAGAAATAGGCCATAGGATAGAGATAATCTGGTAGTCAATGTAAATGTCATATTTTTACAAAGTTGTGATTGTATAAAGAGCGAATGAAACACCACATACGGGGTTGGGTTTAACAACAGGCAAACATGCAGTTGGCCAGGACAGAAGATTCTTTGCAAATAGTATTTCACCTTTCACTTATACAATTTTAACACCATTGTAATGCAATTAATTTCAATAAACCGCCTTTCATTTACACCTGTGTAAGTGAAACTAGTAAGGCTTTATAAACAACAAGCAGTCCTGTGGCACCTTAGAGACTAACATATTTATTAGGTCATGAGGTTTTGTGGGTAAAAAGGCTTTAGGTATGTAGTTAGCCCAGTGGAAAGTGTTTCTTTTTCTCATGTGGCATAAAGTTGATGAGAAATATGATATGGAATGTTGACCAGATGCCGTATTGTATGCAAGGTTGCCTCTGTAGCTCCCCAGATTTCTGTTATTGTTGCACGTAGGAGCTAATCAGAATTTTAGTGCATGCCAGCATATCTAAACAATTTGTTTGGAAGCCTGGACTGTAAAGATCCGGGCACTCTGGAATGTGGAACTATTGCTCCTTTTTTTATTTTAGTTCCTTATGCTCTTCACTAGAAAACTTTTAACATGTTTGAAGTAGCAGAACTGAAAAATAATATTTAAAGGAGTGGAAATGGAAACAGCAATAAGATGCAGCACTTTATAGTGTAAATTTAATAGGGAGAGAATGCCACATCTCGTGATGGAAAAGGAGCTTTGAAAGTGAAGGTACCTGTCAGGAGTTATGGCACTATCCAAAAGGAAGCTTATTCATTCTGTGTTGCCATGAATTTTTTGCTAGACAAGTGCAAATATTATTTTATTTATTAATTTCATTTTTACCTTATTTGAATAACAGTATCCAAATTAAAAACAACAAACAGTTCTGTGGCACCTTAGAGACTAACAAATATATTATAACATGAGCTTTCATGGGTAAAACCCATTCATCAGATGAGTTGAAATGATAGAATCCAGACTATATATAAGAGCAAGAACAGTTACCTATCAATTGTAAGACCAGTGTTAATGATGCTAATTGAGTCAGGCTAGATGTGTCCCATTCATAGCTTTTGATGTGCAAATGTGAATATCAAAGGCAGGGGAAATTAGAACATCTTTATTGACTTTGCAACTGGTGATGATACAGGCAGTCCCTGGGTTACGTACAAGATAGGGACTGTAGGTTTGTTCTTAAGTTGAATTTGTATGTAAGTCGGAACTGGTACATATTGTAGGGGAAACTCTAGCCAAACATTTCTCCAGAGCTCAGTTTTATTCTCCCACACCTCACTTCCCTCAATCCTTTATTCTCAAGCTGAGGTGTCTGCTGAGAAAAGCCGCTCCACGTCTCCCTGGTCTGCTGGGAGGGGTGCTAGCTTTGCGTCTCCCTGGTCTGCTGGGGGGAAGCAGCTAGTGCGGGGTTGCCTCACCTCGTTTGTAAGTAGGGATCTGATGTAAGTCGGATCCATGTAACCCGGGGACTGCCTGTACTCAGCTTACTAATTGTTCTGAGAAATGAGCAGTCCTGTGGCACTTTAGGGTGTCTACACTGCACCATTAGTTCAAGATAACTAGCATTATTTCAAAATAACAATGCGAGTGTCTACACAGCCATTCCATGATTTCAAATTATTTTGAAATAATGGACGACTTACTCCGAAATCTATAAACCTCATTCTATGAGGAGTAACACCTATTCTGAAATAGCTATTTCGAAATAAGGCATGTGTAGATGCTCCAGAGCTGCTATTTTAAAATAGCCCTTCACCAGAGCCATTCTAAGTTATTCCTCCCCAGTGCCTCCTGAGGCTCTAAATAAAGATAGCAAGTCTACATTAGGGAAGCCTGTCTCGGACTAATTTTGAGGCTACCCTGCAGTGTGGACGCTCTATTTCTAAATAAGCTATTTCAGAATAACTATTCCAGAATAGCTTATTTCAAAATAAGCATGCAGTGTAGATGTACCCTTGGATACTAACAAATATATCAAGAGCTTTCATGAGTAATACAAGGTAGACGAGGTCATATCTTTTATTGGATCAACTTTTGTTGGTGAAAGAGATGAGCCACACTGAGATCTTCAGAAAATAAACCCAGAAACTTTGCCATAACATTCTCCATCCAAAACTAACAGGTTTATCTTGCAAAGGACCACAAAAGCTGGACACTGGAGATAATGTTGAACACCTTTCTACTATGAAGGAACAGTTTGCTTTTCCTTTTCCTTCAGAAGAGCTCTGTGTAGCTTAAAGGCTTGTCTCTTTCATGTACAGAAGCTGGTCCAAAAAAAGATATTACTCACCCATCTTATCTCTTTAATATAGCTATCACAATACTGCAAATAGTGTTCTGAGTCAGGTTATATTATTTGGTCATGCTCTCTGGTGGAGGTTTCCAAACACGGTAACAAAATCTCCCCAAACTGGTGATAATGTAATGCCACAAGAATGCTTGACTCTCCATTGCATCTCCCAAAATAGCCAGTCAAATCTTACTTTCTTTGTGTTGAGCCCATGATAATCCATGAGATCATCTGCAGAGAAATAATGAAAAGTTCCTTTTTAATATAGATTTTCTGCATTGTCTCCAGTGTCTCACTTTTGTAGTCTATTTTTATGTGATAAACTTTTTGGTTATGGATAGAGAATTTTATTTCACAGTTTTTGAGTTTGATCATAACATGGGGCAGAGTTATGGTTGTTTGGATGACATTGCTATGCATTTCTAGGTGTTCATAATATTTGGTTTCTTTGAAATTTAACCCCAGTTTTGAATTTCCTGAATTCATAGTGGTTGGGTTTTGGGGAGGGGTGTGAATTGTTGTTATTTTTTAAATAATGGCAACATTCTTGTAAGGTTTTCAACCCTCACATTACTGATTTGTGATCTCAAAACTTCCCTCTCACTTCATGAAGCTATTTTCCAAGTACTGAAAAAAAAATTCTGTGTTGCTTTCAGTTTCATTTTAAAAAATAAAACCTATTTTTTTGCAGCTCTGATGATAGTAAAAACAAGAGAATATGTCTACGTTAGTTGTCCTGAAGGTCCTTGATTGGGGACACGCTGAGGAATTACCCATCAGCAACTAATTTATGCAGGAGGTTCTATTAAGTTCTGGCTTGTGTGGATTGGGGAGATTGATTCCTGCTTTGGAGACATGCTTTAGATGGGATATGATAGCTTTAGAGATCCATGAAACTAAGAGCCACGGAAAATGAAACTGAAAGCTAGAGAACCTGGCTTCATTTTCTCATGCAAAGTGCTTTAATTTTTAGAGTTTGAAGTGTTCCATGAATCTTTATTGTAGTCCCTATCCTGTTTTGATTGTTGTGGTGAGCTTTGTATTTGTTTTGATTGTGTTACCTGACCAGAACCCAAAATAATCACTATTTCACTTGTATAGATGGGTATCAACTAATAGCAGTTACTAAAGTGCTCACATTTTTGTAGATAGCAACATAATCTTATATTTACTTACCTCTTATTCATTTGCAGTACATGTTGCATTTTTCCCCTTTTATATGGACTTGCCAGTGCTCCTTACAGGTGTAATATAAGTGACTGTCATTGGGAGGAAAGATGAAATAATCTCCACTCTCTTCCCCGTCACCTCCAATCCCCCACTTCTGGGACTCGAAGAGGTTCCTAGCTACTTGATTTGCTTAAACACAATGCCAGTATTCAGTCCCTCAGTGCTCCTAATCTGTGCAGGTATATCCAGAGCTCTCATAAAGCTTCCCTTTTCAGGTGTACACAACGTGTAGACCATAGGCGTACACAGCACATTTCATTAGGGTGTGCACCCAGGGAATTTTTTTTAAAAGGTGAATATTTATTGAATACTCAATTATAAAGCATTTGGCGCTTATTGCATAAT